AGATGATCATGGAGGAACGCATAAAAATCTTAACATCTAATAGCTTCGATGTCCATCCAAAAGTCACTACCAAGATTAAGAGTTAACCAAGTTGTAATATGTTTTAGTACGGGCCTAAATATCTTCTGATAGCCTACACCCACCACTTGTGGATAAGCTTGAGCCACCAAATAATCTTCTTTGAATGTCCACTTTAATCCCACAATTCTTGTGTCAAGAGGTTTTAGAACTAAATTCGGGTCTAACTTCAATTTCCCATAAGAGTAGTCGCTACTCTCAAAATAGAAGATAATAAACTTAGACAAAGTGTTAGAGTTCTATATTGAGAGTACGTGTTGTTTGGCTTTTGAAGAGTGTGTTGTTCATAGGACGATCATTTTTATAGAGCAACCCCTGGCCAAATTTGATACTTTTTGTCGTGGCTTTTAATCAATTCTCTTAGGATCCACTAACCAGTTAGATCTATCTGTTAGTTTCTCAATCCTTTGGTTTTTACTTATTGGACTCGTTCGTTTGCCTTTTTTCAACTTTGGGCCTCGACTATTTGGATTCATTCATCATTTGTCTTCTATACCCTTGGTTACATTAACTGGCTTAGCTTATTTGCATGCTTTTAATTTTAACTGGCTGGGCTCGTTGACCTGCCTTTTTCAGTACCTTTAGGTTTTAACCATTTGAGCTCATTTGTCATTGGTCCTCTATACTCCTTATTTCATTAACTGGCTTAGCTTGTTTGCCTACTTTCAACTTGGCTCGTTCGCTTGCCTTTTTCAGTACCTTTAGGTTTTGACCATTTGGGCTCATTAGCCATTGGTGTTCTATACCCTGGTTCATTGACTGGCTTAGCTTTTTTGCCTGCTTTCAATTTTATACCATTTCAAGTTTCTTGATTAGCTTTATCGTTGATTAACCTTGTCGATTTGTCGAACCGTTTCCTCTTACTTAACCCCCACTTGAGGAGTGTATTTTTTTAAAAAAAAAAAAGATAATTAAAAAGATAATTGCTCAAGTATTGTAAATCAGATTATGCAATTATCGAATGTTAAAACTAACCTAATGAAATAACAAATTGCAAAAGGAACCTAGCTAACGCTGCGAAAAAGAAAAACTTAAATTTTGCTGAAAGTGAAATGATGTTTATATGAAAAAGGAAAATAGAAAACTTAACTAGGGGTAATAAATTTTAAGATGCTCAACATTCCATGTATGCGGTAGGACTTTGTCGTGTTGGTTTTCTGATGCATAGGTATCTGGTCGGACTACTCTAACAACGTTATATTGGTCATCCCATGTAGGTTCTAGTGCTCCACCATTTCGTTGACCCTGAAATCTCAATGTTCGTTATGTTGGATGTGTTGCCCTAAACTCGTAGTTTGTATTTATGTAAAAATAAATTTATATTCAATAAATTTTTATTCAATCAAGTTGTTGTTGAATTCATAGCAATGCATTGTCCAAATCCAATAAACTAAACATCCAAGGTTATTATCATGTAATCGGGATAGTATATATACTGAGTCTATATTTGATATACCATCGATATACAAGTGGATAATGTCCCGAGCATAACCTAAAGGGTTTATAGTATATGGATAATGTTGGGTACCTTATCCTGGCAACACTATGGATACGGCTCGCTTTGTAAATATTACAGATAACCCGATCCAGGTTGTTCGTGTGGAGATATACAAGTATGGATATCCTATACAATGAGTTTGTATAAGACCGGACTGTGAAATAGCCAATCTTTAGATGTAACGTCATTAACTAACAGATTGTTATTTCATAGGATGACCAGACAACTCATTCTCAATCTTGAATGAGTTATGGACTCCTGCCCGTGAGGGCTTGTCCTTTGATCTGTATGGGTGAGAGTGACCCGAGTCGTCAACTCAACATTCCTACCATTTTGGGAACGAGACCGAGTGGGGAGTTAAGGGGGAGTAGATTAGTGTTCTCTTAAATACTGACTCCGGGACTTGAACAAGGGGCCTCACCCTCTCATTAGCCTGAGAAGGACTTCCGGTTATTGATTGGACCTTAACCGGGTTGTTCATTAGAGGAGCAGTGGTATTTAAGGAGTAAGATGTAACTCAGCCGTAAAACGGTAATTTGACCCAACTTGAGTTACAAGCACTTGTGAAGGATTGATTTGTCATTAATTGTCGATATCCGTGGACACAGAAACATTTTATAGTGAGAAGAGTTTAGCTGCGGGTTTTTAGTGGAGTAACTCGTAGTTAACGTATGTTGATTAAGGTGATTAATGAGTTTAACCAATTAATCTCGTAACGTTGGAGCTTCTAATCTATAGGCTCATTAGGTCCCCTTGCTAGCTCGTAAAGGATAATTAAGAACATTAAGTATTGGAAAGAATTTGAATTGTTCAAATTTAATTAAAGGGAATTTGGAAAAGCGACGATGGATATTGGAAAAGAAATTTTGTTAATATTTATTTGATATTTCAATAATATTTTTCAAATACTAATATACTTAGTAAATAGTTTTTTTACTACAACAACATTATAAATACTTGGTAAATAATTTGTATTAATATAAATTAAAATTTTCTACGTATAAATGGGCTATGAGTGAAGAAATTTGGAAATTTAAGATAGTGAACAAATTCGAGTACCCGTTTAAAAAAATGACCAAGAGTATCACATTTTACCAAAGAAAAACCAAAGATTTCAAAAATTGGTGACTTTCCAATTTTGCCCTTCTACATATTTTTTTTTCCTTCTCATTTGAAACCAAACCACTTTTAGGATTTGAACCAACCTACTTGTCCCACATTTAAGGGATTTATTAGATTTGATTTAGTGTCCTTAATTAGTAATGCTTTCTCCCCTCAACGACAAATTATTTCATTGTCAATATTGTTAAGGTGGACGATTTCTCATTCTTCCAAGCTCTCCCCTGCAACAATTGAATCTATATTAATCAGGTCTCTATACAATGGTAATTGGGACCAAAACAATGTCTACAACAATTTCAAAGTCATTCAGCTGTCAATTGGTAACGTCTCTATCTCATCTCATCTCATCTTATCCAATGCATTACCATAAATATTCATTTACCCGATGAAAAGAAAGTTTCATGCCTCTCAAACAAGTCTCTTATTATTAGGCTATCTAAAGATAGAGATGTGACATGGGTTCTAACGGTTTTGTCGAATGAGTTGGGGACCGATTACTGCATCGTTGTGGATACTGTCTCTGTCTCGGTAGATATGGACATTGATTCCAGAAATGGGGGTGCTGTAAATACTAACATTAACCCCATAAATGAAAGTGTAATACTATTGCAAACCATTGACCCCAAAAATGGGGGTGTGACACCAGTTCAGCCACTAAAGATATCCACAACTCACCATCAACCCAATGAATTCAAAATAATGGATCTAATTCACATTCATTCTTTTCCATCAAACTTTGCACTAAAAAAAAGAAGCATCAAACTTTGCACTAAAAAAAAGATTGTGCTTCGCAAAGCGAGGGAGAATTGAATAAGGTAGTTTACTTTATAGTCTTAAAATGTAAAATCCGACAAAAAATGGTTGATATTAAAGTGCCTCCATGGATCATGCAATTGGTACTCCATGGATCATGCAATTGGTACTTTTGATCGTCTTGCTACCAAAATGGTAAATTATGGATTATTAGAAAATTCATAAAGGAACATAGTTGTTCTATTGATATTGTACAGAATGATCATAAACACGAAATGTTAGGTTGATTTTGTTAATCTAAGTTTAAAATTAGATTTTAGTTATTTAAAATCTCTAGCACATATACCTAATTTATGGTAGAAGTATATTTGTCTAAAATATTATTCAAGATTCTAATATATTTCTACTTCTTTCTTTTCTATTGGAAAAAAAAAACATAAATGTGTTTGATCATTGTTTCTTCTTTTTCTACTCTCAAATATTAAATTTTAAAATATAATAATAATAATAATAATTTTACATGAAAACTGATTTTTTTAAACAAAATATTAAAAAATATTGTCATTTTATTTTCAAATATTAAAGTAGAAAATGATAGAACATTTTTTTTAAGTATTTAAAAATTCTGAAATAAAAACAGGAGACTAAAAATTAATTTTTGTTTTTTCTAAAATTTGCATGCATTTTCAGAAACATCAGTTAAAAATGAGATACGAGAAATGGTAACACTTATGCCCCACTTTTCATTTTCAATTTTATATTTCAACAAACTATCCATGTTTCCTCTAATTATTTTAAATGAGTAATGATTTCGAATCCTCAGGAACCAAAATGATTCTAAATAATTAAAATTAAAATTCTTTGTTTGGATGTTCACAATAAATGAAAAGAAAAATATTATACTTTTAATATTTTGTAAAATATTATATTATAAATATAATATTTTAATATAAACTAGTAATATCGACTATGGAAACATAAATAATTTAATCAAATTAACTAAACAAAAGTTAAAACTTATCAATGTCACGTTTATTTTAAAAACTAAACTGAAAAAAAAAAAGCCTTACAAATATCTTGATTCAATTTTTTTTTAGCAACTCTAGATTCAAATATTAAAAAGAAGAAAAAACATACAAAAAAAACATAAGCATAAAGATCTAAATAAAAAAAAAACATAATATAAAGATCAAAACAATATTGAAATAGGAAGAAAATTAAATGCACCAAAAACAAAATAGAAAATCAACCTTTTTTTCCACCAAAGTAGGACAAAATCAAAATTTATTAAGTTTAAACTTAAAATCCTCACAAATCCGACATATTTGGAACAGAAAATATTTGAACCAAAACCTGAATTTCAAATCATTTAAGATTTCTAATTCTTTTTTCTTTATATATCCAAACACATGAAATGATTTTGAAATCCCTCCAAATCGGAGGTTACAAACAGGGGTTATGCTGAGATTAAAAAAAAATGTTTCTAAAAAGTAGTTAACAAAAAAAAATGAAACACATAAAAATAAAAAAATATAAATGAGAAACATAATTATTACAATTTCTTACGAGAAAAACTTGACAATTTTCTTTCCTCGTGTGTTTTGCTCATATAGATATGAATACCACACAAAATACAAACCATTTCCAGTTCACTATAACAGCCATTTGACAGAAAGGAAACAAAGATTTAATGGCATATCATCTAAACCTGGTAGGACGAAACTCCAACACCACTGCACGTTTCATATGGTAACACGGGAGAAAGCCGAGACTCGATAAAACTTGAGAAACATACATTCTACTGCAGTTCTCAATCATATTATGCACTGGAAAAAAGTTTCATAATAACTAGTCAAGAGTGATCCAAATGTCCTGTTACCCCTTGAATTGCCATTCTCTGCGGCACATGGGGCAATGAGCCTGAGAGGTCTGTGAATTCACCCATTTTAAGATGCAATGAAGATGGAAAGCATGGTTGCAGGCACCCCAAACTGCATTTGAAGGGCAAAAGAAAAAACTGAATAAGAAACTTTTGAAGGGAAATCAAATAACTAATCCAAATATGGTTATTTTAGGAACCCGAATATAATGAACGAAACTAAGCAACTATATTGCAATATCCAAACAGAAATTATAATACCAATAGCCTTTTGAGAGGGCTATCCCTCCCAAAGAACTCTTTCAAGTTCCCCACACTAACTATCTCCCAAGATACCTTCCCTCCCTCCCCAATACTTCTATTTATAACAAACTCACCTTTAACTAATTACCATAACACCCCTAACTACAATACTAATACTATTCTCAAACTACCCCTATTAGGGCTCTCACAAGTTACTAAGCTCGAATCTACTAAAACACCATGTAACCTTCATTCGCATCTTAATTAGGTCACATGTGATACCCATTTTGTTTTTGGTTTTCTATTTTTGAAAATCAAGCTTGTAGACATTATTTTCCCAGATTTGGTTCTTTGTTTTGTTATCACTTTTTATGTTAAATTACAAGTTTAGTCCTTGCAAGATTGGGTCTAACATCCCTGAACTTTAAAAAGTGTTTAATAGGTCTTTAAACTTTACAAATGTTAAATAGGTCCCCAAACCTTCAAATTTGTGTCTAATATGTCCATGACCTATTCGACATTTTAAAAACTACTCAAACCTGTTAGATACAAAAACGAAAAATTTAGGAACCTATTATAATTTTTAAAGTTTAGAAATCTATTAGAAACAACCCTGTAAAGTTTAGGATTTAAACTTGTAATTTAACCTACATGTTAAAAATATTTTCAAAATCTAAGCTACATTTAAAGTACTTTTTAAAAACTTAGTTTTTGTTGTTGAAATTAAGCTGAGATTCAAATGTGCTTGCAAGAATGGTAAAATGAATTAAGAGCAAGTAGGCATTTTTTAAAAACAAAAAACTAAAAGTAAAATCGTTGAACAAATTAGATAGCATTTCAATCTCACTTATACAACTTATACGATCTTAAGCATCACGAATGCAGAAATGATTGAGGACAAGAAAAACTAGGAGAATATGAACACAAGGCCAGTTAACTCACTCAATGGGCAATCATCCCCAGGGAGTTTGCAATCAGGGCAGCAACCATCAAAGGCCATCCTACAAATCCCACAGGTTTCATCTTGAGCATTCCAAGTCCATGATGCAACAGCATGCCACCTATATTTTATGGAAGAGGTAAAATAATCTTAGGATAAGCAAATTGCTAATTCTACTCAAGAGAATGTAGTATAAGAAATTAAGAATATAACATTTGACCACGAGAAATACGGGAACGTACTCTTTTTGGGCCCCGATGTATGTTCGCAGAGAGCGTCTGAGTCAAGGAAAACCTTAAATTGTATATACGGTTGATTTTTTATATATATAATGGAGTGGGAGCTTTGCTCCCTTATACCCTGATTAAAAGATACTGTTGATGCAAGCAGAACATAGCCATATGATCAAGAATGAGAAGAAAAGGAAGATACAAAAGTGGATGATAAGAAATTAACACAAAGTAGTACAGAAAATTCCTCTCAATGACACTAATAAAAAATGGTATCTTAATTACAAAAGAGAGTAATAGAGGAGTACCAAGTAAAAGATTTAAAGTGACCAACCTCCCAAATTTCATTAGAGTTGAAAATTATTCCACGGAAGATTTTGTGGTTTTGACCTAGCCAAGTTTCCCACAAAAAACTTCTGACTGAGCATTTCCAAATGACTTTTGCCTTGCTTCTAAAGGGGTGGCCTAAAAGGAGCTGCTCAATGGCATGAGTTGTGGTTGTGGAATGAAGACCGAGAGGATAACTAGAGAAGTGCTTAGAAATAAATGCCCAGAGGGAGGCATTAAGCTTTGTAAGAGCTCACACCTCTTCCCCTCGAGCCAAATACACCATAAAATGGAAATAAAACTAACCAACCAAAGAAAGAATCCCTTGTCACAAAAAGGCGAGTGAAATAAAACCTCCTCCATCATACAACAATAGTCACTGTTATGAGCCAAACACAAAGCAAACGTCTCCCAGGAGTTTCGAATCAAGAGAGCAAACTTGCACCTCCAAAAGAAATAATCTAAATCCTCATACCCTTCCTTACAAAGAATGCATCAGTCATAACTAAAGCCCCAACAAGAAGGAAGAATGCCTCTTAATGTACTCCATAGTATTTACTCTCCCATGTAAGACTTGCCCAACAAAAAACTCAACCTTCTTGAAAAATTTTACCTTCCACAAAGAAGTGAATAAAGGGTTTCCAAATGTATGATGGTAGCCCAAAATGAGAAGTAAAGAGCGGCACGAGAACCATTAGAAGGGTTAGGGAACCAAAACGACTATCCCTGGCAAAGATGGAAAGCTACCAGAAGTGAAAGAAGCGTAGACACATCTCACGCCACCCTATTTGAAAGAGGGTAGTGGAAACCAAAATTAAACAAGTAGTAGTTGCTCAAAACCAAGATGACTGAAGCCACAAGACAAAACCTCAAAGAAGAAAGGTGGTATAAAAAATGGAACAAGATACTAAGAGGGCTATCACCCAGCCATTAATCCTCCAAAAAATAGGTATTCAAGTCATCACCAAAAGAGCATTTCACAAATTTAGAAAAGAAGGGAACACCCAAAGAGATAGCTTTCCAAGGGTTCTTCAATCTACCTTTTACCCCCTACTTAAGGCACACTCAAAAGAATGAGGGTCTATGCTTGCTAACTATGACCTTATGCTACAAATTGTTTGACTCCAAAGGGAAACACCACAACCATTTATCTAGTAGGGGCTCAACTTTATATTGCCTATACCCCCCTCCAAGATCAATTGGTCTCGCCACTACCTCCCAACTAATCAAATGGGAACCTGCATGTTCCCTCCTCACCCTCCCATGGGAAGTCTCAAAAACTTCTCCAAACTCTTCTTGACAGATGTGGTGGACAAGGTAGACTGAGTTGCTAACCTCCAAATCTCTAAGCAGGAAGTAAAAAGTTTGTTATGGCAATTTGTAAACTACAGATGAAAATCAGGTCCAGATTTATTGGTAATGATATGATGTATAGCGGACTCTCTTTCATGGGGTAACACCCAACCCAATTACAGACAGATGTGGTTGACAGGGTAAAATGAGTTGCTAACCTCGAAATCTCTAAGCAGGAAGGGAAAAGTTTGATATGGAAATTTGTGAACCACATATAAAAACCAGGTCAACATTTATTAGTAATAATAGGAATTAGGATGTACAGCGGACTCTCTTTCATGAGAACTCCCAAACCCATTTAGTGATAAGGGCTATATTCCAATCTCTGAGGTTGGCAAGGCCAAGCCCACCAACATTTTTCTGATTAGAAATTCTATTCCAACCAATAAGATGGCTGCCATTCTCGATACCTTTTGTAGCCCAGAGGAAGTCTCTTATCCTTCATTCAATCATTCTAGCAACTTTTCCTGGCAATTGAAAGATGGACATGAAATAAGCAGGGAGGCTTGACTAGACAGATTGAATAAAAGCTAGCCAATCCCTCTTGGAAATATTTCATTCATCCAATCTTCTAAAGATCCTTTCTATCACTAGATTCCAGAAAAGAGGAGGAATAAGAATTGATTTTCTCCAAGGGGCATTCCAAGATGATCAAAGGGGAGGCTTCCAACCGAGCAGATAAGGAATCCACCTTAATGAACAATTTCAGAGTAGTATATTGATACCAGTAAGAGTGATTTTGCTAAAACCAGTTATCACACCAACAGCAGCCGTTTCAAATAATTCCATGGTTCCAGAGATTTTGTGAAGCTCATCATTGCTGTAATAACAAAAATTTAAGATGTGATCAGCAAAATAGAGCTGATTAATAGGAACATTATGTGAGGTATCTCCTCACAGAGTTCTTTGATTGAATTTCCAAAAGCAAGCCCAAAGGTGATACAGAAAAGCAAGATAAACAACCCACCAATTCGAGAGGGTGGGGAACTCTCCTAAGCTACAATGTAGCAACCAAAACACTGAAATCCAGACTGATTCTTCCTAACGACATTCCCTCCCTAAAAAGGGACAACACATCCCACTAACAACCTCCAGCTAGGCTCACAGCTAGGCCTACCTCACTCTCTCTGGATTGTTTGGCCTACAATCACTCAATGACCATCTTACCCTTCCCCTTCTCCTTCCTACTATATGTCCTCACTCTTTCACTCTCTCTGCACCTATTCACTCTTTCAATTTGTCCATCCGTCTGAGGGTGGTACGCGGTGCTTCGTTTCAGCGTTGTGCCCTAGAGTCTAAACATCTCTGCCCAGAAATGGCTAAAGAACACCTTGTCTCTATCCGAGATGATGGAACGAGGAAATCCATGTAGCTTGATAATTTCTTGGACGAATGCGGCTGCGACCATCTTAGCAGAGAAGGGGTGACTAAGGGGTAGGAAATGAGCGTATTTGCTCAATCGATCTACTACCACCAGAATCGAGTCAGCCCGTTTAGATCAAGGCAATGCTTCCACAATCCATTGTTAAATCCTCCCATATCCTTTCCGGAAGAGGCGGGGGTTGCAGTAATCCAGCGGGGGATAAAGCCTCTGTCTTGTGCTGTTGGCAAACATCGCACTCCATCACGTGTTTCTTAACATCTTCCTTCATCCCGGGCCAATAAAGTTGCCCTGTAAATCGCTTGTAGGTTCTCAAGAACCCTGAATGTCCACCTATCACTGAATTGTGATACATTTGCAAAATAGTCGGAATAAAAGAAGAAGCTCTTGACAATACCAGTCTGTTTTTGTAATAGAGGGTCCCCTGGCGCAGTTGGAACTTGGTGGACCCCTCTGGGTCTTCTGCTAGCTTAGTCATCACCTTGGCGAAGTGGGGATCAGCGGCTGTTTCTTGCCTAATCGCCTCGATATCAATCACTACTGGAGCTGACAGAATAGTTAACTGTGGGGTCTCGGGCATTCGAGATAAGGCGTCTGTGGCCTTGTTTTCCAACCCCGACTTATACTAAATCTCGAATTCATAGCCTAGAAATTTGGAAATCCACCTCTGGTATTCCGGTTGAACTATCCTCTGTTCAAGGAGATGTTTCAGCGCCTGTTGGTCTGTTTTCACCACGAACCTCTGGCCCAACAAGTATGGCCTCCACCTCTAAATCGTTAGCACCACGGCCATTAATTCCCTTTCATTGGTTTTGCAGGGATAAGGTGTGGCTGAAGTAGGCGAGTCCTGTTCCCGAAGCATCCGTCTCGATCACGAAAGGAGTTTTGAAGTTCGGGAGTGCTAGAACGGGTAGTGTTACCATGGCTCTCTTGAGCCTTTCAAAGGCCTCAGTAGCTTGTTCTATCCAGTGGAATCCATCTTTCTTGAGTAATTGAGTCAAAGGGGCGGCTATCGTCCCATAGTCAGCCACGAACTTTCTATAATACCCTGTCAAACCTAAGAAGCCTTGAAGCTCTTTGACATTGTTGGGCATCAGCCATCTTAGCATTGCTTCTACCTTGGTGGAATCTGCTTCCACCCCTTGGCAGACACCCAGTGTCCTAAGTATTCCACTTGCATAGCACATTGAATACCATCGGTAAGTGCGTTAGGTGAGTCTCCAAATTTGCACTATAGACAAGGATGTCATCAAAAAGACTAATACACACCTTCGCAGGAAGGGTCAAAACACATTGTTCATTAGTGATTGGAATGTGGAGGGTGCATTGGTCAGCCCGAATGGCATTACTAAGAACTCGTAATGTCCATTGTGTGTCTGGAAGGCTGTCTTGTGAGTGTCCTCTACTGCCATCCTAATCTGGTGATCCCAATATTGAGGACATATAGTAGGAAGGAGAAGGGGAAAGGTAAGATGGTCATTGAGTGAAGGCCAAACGGCCAAGAGAGAGTGAGGTAGAAATAGCTGTGAGCCTAGCTGGAGGTTGTTAGTGGGACGTGTTGTCCCTTTTAGGGAGGGAATGTCGATAGGAAGAATCAGTCTGGATTTCCTTCTATACCATTTCACATCGCGTTTCTAACTCTTTCACTGTCATCCTTGCTCGCTATTCCCACAATCGTACTGCTCTGATACCGATGTGTGAGGTATCTCCTCATATAGTTCTTTGATTGAATTTCCAAAAGCAAGGCCAAAGGCGATACAAAAATGCAAGATAAACAATCCACCAATTTGAAAGGGTGGGGAACTCTCCTAAGCTACAATGTAGCAACCAAAACACTGAAATCCAGACTAATTCTTCCTAACAACATTCCCTCCCTAAAAAGGGACAACACATCCCACTAACAACCTCCAGCTAGGCTCACAGCTAGGCCTACCTCACTCTTTCTTGGCCGTTTGGCCTACAATCACTCAATGACCATCTTTTACCCTTCCCCTTCTCCTTCCTACTATATGTCCTCACTATTGGGGCCTAACACATTAATAAAACCACTCACAATATTATTACAACCATTTGGTTGAATCAACCTGCTGGCCTTGTTTTGTAAACCTTTCCATTATAATGCATTCTTATTTCTATCCAAAACAGGGGCTTTATCACCATGCCCAATCTTTTAGGCTTAGAAAAGGATTAAGATTTAGAATGGTATCCATGTTGAACATCATATTTGAGCTTCAAGCATGAAAACATATGGATTAATTACCCATTTTGCATCAGAGATCAAGGGGTTCAAAAACCAAAAGCAAGGCAGTACATTGAAATTTTCTTTTTTGGTAAGAAACAAGAATTTCATTTATGATATGAAACATACAAAAGCCCACAAGGGCAAGTTACAAAAAAACGCCTTCTAATTATAGATTGAAATTTTTGTTGTCCCTCAATGGGATAAGGTATAACACAACAATATAGCAGCAGATATTTTGATAATGGGCAAGAAAACAGATATACAATGGATACGTAATATTTTTACTTTCATCTCCTCCGAGAAAACCAAGACCTGTCATCAACAAAAGTAATTGTTAAATAGAAAATGGCATGCATGAAGTAATATCATTTACAAAATTTTGATTGAATAAGTCTATTGAGAAAAGTGGAAAATTAGTTTCAAGGAACTAGCTGGAAACAGTGCAAGGGAAACAGCAAAGATTATCAGATCTTTCTCAATTTCGTATTCGCGTGTAAAGGCTTAAAAAGCATTCACAGAACTTATTGATAAAAGGATAGCACTGTAGATGGCAACAGAATAATAAAAGTTGCAAAAGGAAAAAAAAATGAAAAAACGAAAAAGAATAAAAAAAGAAATAAACTAAAGGGAACCATGCAAGACAAAGAAACGACATATTCAAGGGAATTGTTAGCAACATAAGGTATGATGCCTGCTATAGGTTTCACAATTGTTCTATGATTTTCATGTGAGACTGCTCTATGACAGTATTCCTTGATGGTAAGAAGGCTCTATGATAGTGTTGCTTTTTTTTTTCAAATGGATATTTAGTGGGGATATATTCTTTGAAGAATATAACCCTTAGAAGCAAAAGCAAACATTATAATGTTACACGGTATATTTGTAATTACAATGCTTCCAATCCAAAGCAAACACTACGATAGATCCCTTTAGAGAGGGTTCGACACCAAAGACAAGACCCAAAAGAGGAACCCATACATAGCTCTCTCCCCTAGCGTAGGAATCCTCTGCAATAATGCTAGCGAATCACAAGACCATACATTCATACATTATCATTATGCTACCTCCTTTTGGCACTCAGTTCTCTCCTCTGGCTAGTTTCTCCCCATGGAACGTAAAGCCACATCTAATTTACACTCTTTTTTAACTAATCATCCCTTGAAAAGGAAGGGATAAGCCTGGGTGGTTGTTTCACAAAAAGTACTCATTGTCTCGGCATATAAGCATGGTTATCTATATGCTAGTAAAATCACGAAGAAATTTTAATACGAACATTCTTCTTTAGGGACTATAATAAGTTGGGTAGTTGACCTTTCCAACTGTTAACCTTCCTCTCATTTACCTGTGCTTGGTAAGACTGAATCCAGAAACTAAGAATTACCAGCATATGTTGCCTAGTGCAAAAAATTTAATTTTAATTTTTGGGCCTCTGACGAAACACAGAAAACCAAAAAGCCATCAAACCTTTGCATATCTACTTTTAAGAATCAAAAATTAAATTCTGTGGTTCAGATCATAAAACCCATATGAAAATTTAAACAAATTGTTCAGCATTTATTGGTACCGGAATTGAGGAACACAAGTGAATTATCTGGAAATTAAATGGTGAGTAGAAATGAGAGAATACCTGTTTCTTGCCACCTGCTGTTTCAGTGACTTCCAATCAAACCGAGAGTAAGACGATCTGAAAGAGACCAGAGAAAAACAAGCAAATTAGGAACAGAGGAGAGGAGTTGTGACAGATCAAAGAAAGAAAAGACGCCGAATCCTAAAACTAAAACAGATTGATGAGAGCAAATAAGAAAGCACAAACCGACTTGCAAGCAGAACCAATAGCGATCATCGGAAAACTTTGGCGCCTTGATCGTCTCGTGGAAATCTTCGCCTACATGAGAGAGGGTGAGAGGGAGAAGACGAGGGAGGGGTTTCGAATGCTTGGGAAGCGAGGGAAATTGATTTTTGGGATTTTTTGAGGAGAGGGAAATATTATTGTGTATTTTTCTTCCTCTTCACTTGCTTAACAGATCTCATTTTTAACTGCCTAATCGAAGTATATAGTTTATTGAGTTTTCTTTTAATACGTTCGGGTGGGGATTCGAACTCACACCCTCTTGCTTAAAAGTATCCAATTTTAGAGGTATGCTCACTTTGATTAGAATTTCACCCTCTCATCAAATACTAAAAAAACTAATTTTTGACTACATTTAAATTTTTAGCTTAAATTAAATCTCTTTTAATCTAATATAAAAATCTTGGATGGATTTTAATTTTTAAATGTATAAATAAAATAGAAAGGAAAAATTAAAATTTCAAAATTTTTTGCATTAATAATTAATTAAAGATCTTTTTCCTAAAATCAAGAAATTTAATTTATATAGATGAATAAAAACAAAATTAAAACCAAATAACTAATTTAAAGCTCTTAGCAACAAAAATCAAAATTTGAATCCAGTAGGGAAGAATTTGAATATGTAAATTAAAAGAATTCATCCCAACCATTACCTAAACATTAAATTTCTAAAATTTTGAGCATTAATATTCAAATAGAGATATTTTTTCCAAAATCTAGAAATTTAATTTATAAATTATGATACTCGAGTAGAGAGGAGGGGTATATGAATGAACCGATACCAGATCCGAACGAGAGGGATCCTAAGATCATAAAATAATGGTCAATAAATACTTAAAAGAATTGATAGTCACTACCTATATTAACAAGGTACACCTTCTCTTTCAGTAACTCAATCGTAACTTGGAGCAATATTCGGCTCGGTGACCTACTAGTTCCTTTGCTAGGAAGCATGTGAGTGAATATTAACTATATGGAGTAAAAGGAAAGTTGAGTATAAGATTTATAGGTCTATAAAGATTCTTGAGCATGTTGGATGAGTAGTATATCAACTATCATGCTGGAAGAACTTTTCAGAATTTAAGATGTGTTTCATGTTTCTGTGTTATACAAGTATTTATCTGGCATGTTGATTGTTCTTAGTTGCAGTGGGTCCAGGTAAATGAGAACCTGTCTTTTGAAGAGAAGTCGAGGCAAGTTTTAGGAAAAAAAAAAGAACTAAGTATTGCAAAATAAGATTATTCCTTTCGTTAAGGTTTTATGAAAATTGTGTGTAGTGAAAGAGGTATCTTGGAAATGTGAAGATCATATGTCTGTTCAGTAATCTCAATTGCTTTCTCGATAGTTGTGGCTGAATTTCGAGGACAAAATTCTCAAAAAGAAGGTAATATTTTGTAAGGAGTTGTTCGTCAGTTATTTCTAAATTGGAAAAAAATTGAATTTATTGAAGTTAAGGTTTAAAGGGTGTAATGGTCTTTTAGCTTCAAATAAAAGGAAAAGAAAAAAAAATATAAGAAAATAATTTGGTTTTGGAAACCAAATTGGTGGGACACGTGTGTTCGTTTTTTTTAGTGTGAACATGTGGCTTGAGTTAAATAAAGAAAAGAAAATGAATGAAATAAGAGAAAAAGAAAAGCAAGGGTTTGCTTCTCTCGTGGATTTGAAACATGGGATGCAGGAGAATACCGAACCGATTAGGACCAAATCCGAATTCCGAATGTTAGGCATGGACGTTACATAAAAAAAGAGAAAAACTAAATAAAGCCTCCTAATAAATCATTAAAAAAATCTCATAATAATAATAATACAATATAGTAAAAGCTCAACCCATAAATATCGAGAACTAAATAAGTTATTGGATAAAGAATTTTTAATCACTTCTCCAACTTTAAATCATTTCTTGAACATTCTTGATGTCAACACACACCCAAAATTATTTGTGACAATTTTTTTTACGTATAATTCGAAATGGTTAGACAACTTTGTGATGATTCAAAATACGAGGGCATGATTATATATCATGTTTTTTAATTGTAATGAAATAGAAAAAAAATAATTGACATTGAATAAAAAAATTTCATTTTTTGTGACAGTTTTTTAATTGTCACAAAGTTATACGAAATTCGAAAATTAGTGGTTTTTCCCTTCAAAATTGTACCTCATCATTTTGTAACAATTTTTAACTGTCATTGAATCATGTTTTCGTGACAATTTTTAATTATCATATAATTAATTATGCAAAGTAACGCTTTTTCCCGCAAACAACGTGCCCCACAATTTCGGACAGTTTTTTTTCCTCTCTAACTTTTGCATTGTTCATAACTGTCATAGAAGCATAGTTTTGTAGCAGTGAAGTTCAATTTTTTGTATTTCTTGTGTGAAGATTTGTTTCCTGGTATGATTCGTTGCATTTCTTTTTTCATTCCTCATGAGAAAAATATATTTCTTTCCTTGACTAAGCACCAAATTTTTGCAATATTGACATTTTTATTTAGTTCCACGCTACAACAGTAAAAACATTATAAACGTTAAAAATTAATAGCATTCAAATCATTTATATCAAAGACGCAAATAAAGAAACATATTAAAATTAACAAAAGGATAAAATTTTTTCTTATATTTTTCATTTCTTTGGCATACTCAATAATAGAAGATCCCATGGGATATTTTGCTACATCAAAAAGAGCAACATATGGTTCAATTCCACAATTTGAAACAACCATTTTTAATAACGTCTTTGTAAGAAGTTCTTGGATTATTACATTGAAGACATAAAGTAGTATCACTATCTAGAGATGACTAAACTCTTCCGCTACAAATTTTGCAATTTTCATACCATGTTGTTCTTTGTTGAAAACTTTGATTACAGTCGCCTTGAATGAATAGTGCAACTTAGCAATTTTTAAAATCAACCATTACACCTTTCTTCAAGTCTCTTTGATGATGAGATGATATGATGAATATTTTTTCCACATAGTGATGATTTACACATTTGAAAAAATAAGTATAATTAATATGTAATAAAATAATTTTAAATGTTAACTTAACCAATTACAAAAAATACAATTTATACAGTTTACCAGTCTCATGCATTTCAAGATTAACTTGAATGGTACTAATTGATGAAGGCGAAATTTTATTCCAAGGACATGTCATCGTTGAATCGACAGTTAGTCGTGCGTGCCAACTCTGCAGGGTGAGTTCGAAAGCAAGTTCGGAAAAGTCGAACTGACGAACTAAGTCGATAACGTAATAAAAGTTCCAAACTTTATTCTAACGTTTAAATACGTAACCGTACAACTGTATTTCAGTCTCAACGTATATTCATGCCTAGAATTTCGAGGATAACCGTGGGTTTGAATCCATGATTCCAACGGTTATCTACCCTCCATATAAATATCATAAAATTGAATAAGGGAGGTACGCAAAACTTTGTTGTTTAAGATTTTACATATTGAATCATGTCTAACAAAGCCTTCAAAGTGCTAACTATTTTATGCAGGATCTATTTCTTATCTTCGAGTGTTTTTGGAGATCTTAATGCTTTAATCGAATTTCTCGGTTAAAACACTAATCGTTGTAGTTGCTAAACTAAATTCATCTACGATTATAAATATAATAGTCATAGTGACTATTAATTGATATAATTAAAAAGTGTTGGGAATGACAAGGTTGGATAGAGTTGTGGGAGTCAAGGGACACATGAAGACCTTCAATTTTTTAGGTTTTTAATTTTTACAAAATAAATTTCTATACTAGGCATTTTCAACACTTTAAATTAAGTGTTCCCCTCCACTCTTTCATCATTCATTATTTTCTCTTCCTCTTTATTCAATTTGTGTTTTCTTAAAGATATTATGAGCTAGTTTGATTCCACTCTTTTCCGACGACTGCACGTCTGAGTGGGAGGTTGCGTTAACCTTAAGAATCATTCCGGCAATACAACGATTTAGCGTCAAGGTCATGCCAATTTTGCTTTCAAGGCAGTGGTCTTGTCCACATGACAATGAAATTATTGCTCATGGTTCTATTTTTGTCCTTCTTTTCCAACAATTTGAAAGCAAAATTCTCATCATGGTTGCCATCGAATTTGGGAAGGTCTTGCTAGACCTATCAAAATTGGAACCACTCGACGTGTCAAATTACCACCACTGGTCCTAAAAGCTGCTGATTTTCTTTGAGCAGTTGGAGATCGACTACATCCACATTGGTGCCCAGCCTACTACCGTTGTTGTCACCACTGTGGCTGCCACCACCACTACTAAGCCCGTCAACATTGTTGCTGCTCAATACACCGCCACTGCTTTAGCCGTCACGGTTGACTCCAGAACATCTTCTGCCATTGTCATCGATATCAACAAAATCGAGAAAGACAACAAGACGGTCTGTGGGCATCTTCTCAACCATATGAACGACTGTCTCTTTGATTTGTTTGTAGTCCAAAATCTGCAAAAATTATTTGGGATACGTTAGAGTCCAGATATGGTGGGGACGATGCAGGTAAGAGGAAGTATATGTCGTCGGTAAATGGCTGCAATTTTAGATGTCAAATGACAAACCGATAATGGATTGGGTTCGTGAGTATGAAAACCTGGTGGCAAGTGTGTTGTTTGATGGCATAAAGATGTGCGAGATTTTTCAAGCAAATGTGCTACTCGAGAAATTCCCTCCTTCTAGGATTGATTATCGCAACCACCTGAAGCAGAAGAAGAAGGACCTGACTCTACAAGAACTTATCAGTCACGTTCGCACAAAGGAAGCCAACGAGCAAAAGGATAAGCTCTCTTCTCAATCCATAAATTGAGTTAAAGCTAATCTAGTTGAATTGTCTAGTGCTTCCAATGGTAGGTTAAAAAACAAAGGGAAACAAATTTTAAAGGATTTAGCACAAAAGTACAAGGGATTCTAACTAAAAAATACTGGTGGAAGAATCGAGAAAACAAACTGGTATGTTATGTCTGTGGAAAACCAACACAAATCATACCAATGCATGT